GTATTTTAAAAGGAGTCTTAACCAGGGATTTTTTACTGCATTGGCTGTAATATTATACATGTACTGTAAATTTTCAGAGGAATGTCAGCAGAGTGATTAGCTTGGCTTCTCTCTCTGGCAAGTCATTCTTCCCCTTGCTTTTCTCCATGACCCTGTGGTAATTAAGAGGAAAGGAGAATAGGCTGACAAGCAATCAAAAAAGGGATTTATTTACAGTTGTTTCTCTGTTTCATTAGACTTCACGAGTCCCTCACATGGCAAATATTACCTATATTCAAAAGCTTCACATACATGGCTGATGCATTCCCTAATGGAGAAAGGTACCCAGCTGTTAAGTAACAGACCTCTGCTGTACTGCTGCTCATCATGACTCGTGTCCCATTGCACAGATGAATAGCTTCTCAGATATTTGCTGCTCCTTCACAGAGTGAAACTGTTGGTTCAGTTTCAAACAGATACCTCATTCCATTCATGTGGTTTGAAATACTGATCTGCTAAAGACACTAGGCTGAGTAATTCTAATTTGGGAACAATCAAGTACTTCCCCTGTGAGTATTATTTGCCTCCAGTATTACCTGCCACCGACTCACAGATCTATTTCACGTGTGACTCAAACGGGCGGATGTAAAGTTACAGCAGCAAAGGGACATGGCCTTCTGTAATAGAAAATATAGCACGTATTATCAGATCATCATGTGTGCAACACAAGACCAGAAGTCAAGAGTCTATTTCTGAGTCACTAATTTAGCTAGAAATATACTTAATCCAGCTTTGTTTCCTTTCTCTGAAATGGGCAGGCACACTGCATTCCATGTTTCATAGGGTTTCTGAGGCATGGCCAGGCTTCATAAAATGCCTGAAATCTGTCAAATGAGAGGACACAACAACTAGTTAAAAATACAACTCAAACAACATAATTCACTAATGTTCCACGTGACCCACCTTTTCCTTCAGGTTTCTGATTCAGTTTCCTTGCAGATGATTGCTCAGGAAGCTGAAGCCACAGACTGAAAACAGCCTGAAGCCATTGGCTGCTTACCTAATGCTGGCAAACAGAATCCAGCCTAGTGTGCTGGCACTGACATGACACCAGGGAGTCAATTCCTGTAGCTGACTCACTGTTGGCTTTAGGCGTAGTACAAAATGTATTGTTTAGAAGGCTGGATCAGAGTTGCCTGCTCCATGACACACATGCTTGTTAACTTCTCCAGGGAGGGCACAGAGACACAGCTGATCTTGACAGTACCTCATACCATTAACCATGTGATGTATTTTTTTAACAGCATCAAAGATTATGCCTTTATGAGAGTAGCAGGAGAACGTCACACTTTGTGATGTCCCTTGCAAATGAGGATAGTAAACACTAGTTCAAGTTGATATATAACAGCCTAGAGAGGGGTTTGCACTGGCACAGAACCTGAAGGTATTCACACATTGAAGGTTGCAGCCCACAAGACCTGTAGCTCCAATGGGAGCTGCCCCATGGACAACAGAGGCATGGAGGCTCTGTGGAGACTGCCAGGGATGTGATGTTAAGAGTCACTACCATCAAAAGCTTTAAATGGTGTTGTCTGCTTCGTTCTCATGAAATCACCACTGTGAGAGGCCTTTCATCTGTTCACCAAACAGATGTACTGGTTGCAGAGCAAGCTTCTGCCTTCATTAGAAGCAGCCCAAAAGCTACATACCTCTCTGTGGAAACCAACCTCTCAAACTAACAAACTTCTGCTTCTGCATCTGTTCAGCTACTGTTCCAACACAGCAACCAGAAACTGAATGAATTAAGAGAGGGAAAATAATTGACCTCTTCTAAAAGGGTCATGAAACAAGCCTCATTTTACATGAGGTGTTCAACAGCCTCCAAGTACCAAGAACTTCTGGTCATGAGCAGGTGACAGATATTAAGCCTGTGACAAGTGCCTGAGGATTCTCCAGTACCTAATGGAGACAAGCCTTCTCTTCGGGGCGTTTAGGCAGAACACACAAACATTGCACTGATTTCACAGGCCACCACTATTAAATCCAGAGTAGGGATTATTCTCTTTGATTTTCTTCTCTTCAGTGTAAGGCATTTTCGTCTCCCCTACAAGGATGGGTTTTCTAACATATTTTTATTCCCCAAAGTAATCTCCACTTAATTTTCTCTGTCTCACACAAAGTCCCAAGGGACTGCAGTACAGTGCACTCCTGTTTTTGCCAAGTGTCTGCTCAGCTATATCCTCTGTCAGTCCATGCTGCAGGATTTCATGCCCAATAACAACATGATCTTTTTCCTCTGTCAACACATACCCTTTATTTATTCTGTTCCTTCTCTCTGTGCACTCTGTGGGATCGCTGTGCACTTATCTATTGCTTTTGCCAAGTATGTGACTAGTCCAAGAAAGAGATAGTGTATCAAAAACAAAACAAAAAACCCACCTCCCAAAATAGACTTAATCCTTATGTTTGCTCTCCCTTTCACCAGACTGCCTGCTGGCAAAAATTCACATCCCTGTTCACTGGTATGCTTCTTTTGGCTGCTGCTATCTTGGGAACATCTCAACAGCTGGATTCTGTGCAAACCTATATTCATATGATCTCATTATGTTCTCATATATGGCCATTTCCAAGACGAATGGGCTGGAGAATGCTTTCTCTGATGGTAATCAGTTACTGATTAACTTTTCAGAACACAAATACATTTGTGTCATAATCTTTCTTCTGCTCTCAAATCTTCCATCTTACACTGAAAAATTGACTCTGAGTTAATGGGTGTTGTCACACGCCCTGGATTTCTTTGTACTTATGTTAATAGTTGCCTTCACCAGCAAGTTCATTCTAGGTATTTATAAATAACAAAAGTAATATGAGGTTATTAACCAAGGTCACCATCTCAGGACAGGTAGCCCTACTGAAAATCAGAGTCCTGCTTGGCAGAAGTATTCTTTATGGCTGCATTTCCCTGCAGTGGAAAAAACCTCTCTGATTACAGAAACAACCCCTGGAGTATAATACCAGAGAAAACCCACACTATTTTGTTTAGCTCTCCATGGCTATCAGACCAGCACCTCACCATGGTCAAACAACACAGTACACAAAAATATGCAGCGAATGCCTTAGAGGACTGAACTGTTCCAGGGGTCTGAGAGCAATTCAGGAGGAATCTCAAGGAAATGTGCTGTCAAGGGGATGGGTGGCCTCAGCAGAGGTGGTCTAGAATGAAAATTGCCTCATTTTTTACAGTGTGTTAAAGGGAAAACTGATTCAATGAATGTTCATTGTTTTTGAATAGTATGGCATAGAGGATGGCAGAGAGAGCATGCAACAAATCATCCCAGAACAGGCTCCCTTTGCAATACAGAGAATGCATTGGGTGATTCTGCTTAAGAAAGGACAAATGTAAACAACAAACATTCAGAAATCAGCATCCAACTATTTATAAATGTTCTTCTCCTTCCCCCCCAGTCTCCTCTCTTCAAAGCACAGACAACACACAGGTAATGTCTCACTTCAAGTATCACAGCCTACCACATCAGCATCTCATATCAAACACAGGGTAAAGCAGAAGGTGGACTTAATGTTAACTTTTGCAGTTCCCCTTTAAAGACCTTAATTAAGATTTATGTAACTTTTCAGAAGGCATGATCAAATTTGTTCTCAGAGCATGAATTCATAAAAAATGCAGTGTTGCTACATAGTGATTTAAGCCAAAACACCCAGAAAGACACTGCCACTCCAATTTTCATAGCTAATTCCATTTTTACGTCATTAAAATGTTAACTTGCTCACACCAACCACAAGGACACAATAAACACTGAAGTTGTTCTGTGCCTTGTTTTGCTCAGTTCCTCAACAAAGTTACCAGCTAAATTCCAATCACAGAATCTCTTTTACTGAGTCTATTTTGCCTCGTAACTGAGCTTACAATCTAAATTGTTATAGAAGTCACCGAGGATGATTATACTTTGAACTCTAAGATAGCATCTCTGCAGGCTCACTTTCAGATACTCAAATAACTTGTTTTTCTGATTCCTAGAGGGTGGTGAAAACCAAGGAAATCTGTTTTGGTTTGCAGGGGTTTATTTTCCATAGCAAAAACACTGTTTATCCTGGCCAATGACCTTTAGGATTAAGTAGGATGCCATAATGGTCTTTCACCTTTTCCTTACAAAAGTTTGGAAAAGGTAACTCAAATGAATATGAGGAACAATACCAAGTTGAACACCAGTCTAGTAGGGTCAAAGATTATTCTGTCAGCAGCCAGGAACCTCAAGACAATGTGTGTTTAATTAAGATCCTACTAAAAATCACACACCTTGTCAGAATACCATGAGCCATGCTATTTTTGCATGTGATATTACCAAGCCCAACCTATTTCAAAAACCTGCCAAACTGGGAAGATCTCAGATGGCTCCTCAGGAGCTCCTATGATACTGTCCAAACAAAAAGCACCACAGGCAGTTGCTACCTCTCACAACACTGCCACACTTTGTACTGCCCAAGGAAGATGTTTCTGCACTCTTAAAAATAAGCAAATAATGGAAAAATCCCTGTAAGCTCAAAAGATCTAAACTTACTGTGTTTTCCAATGCTCCTGCTTTCCCCGCCCCAGATAAAATCCTACAGGGAAAGCCACATTCAGCACCCCTTCCTCCTCCTTTCTGCTTGCCTTTCCTTGCCCCACTTGCTGTATTTACAGGATAAAAACCCCTTCATCACATACCAGTTGTAGTCTATGTAAATAAATACAAGGGTAAAATAAAATAACTTTTGGGAGCCTGGACCATTGCCAACTTGCCTGGGTAACTGGGCTGTGCATGGAGCTTGAAGGGTGTTTTTTAAAAGGAGGGAAGCAGAAGAGAACAGCTCAAGAATCTTGGCTCAGCCTGGGCATATTTCCGCCTAACTCTGGCTAAACCTCAGCACAAACGGCTGGACAAGGAGTCAATACGAAGCTGGGGAGGGAGGGAGGCTGTGGGCTCTCCACCAGAACTACAGCAGAGCCTAGGGAGGCTGAAACCATGCTTTTCCTTTGGGCAATGGCATTTGTTTTAGTCCTTCAGGAGCAAGATCTTTTAGGTAAGTGATTCCAAACTTGCAAAGCAGGAACTATAGTTTAATCATAGCATGGTCAAAGCTTTTGCATGGGGTGGGAGGGAGAGGCAAACAATTACTTAGTCTATGGGTTTTATATGAAGGTGACACAGGTATGTGTCAAAATTCTGTGGGAATATTGTTTTTAACAGGAAAACTCAATTTTTGTGCTATTAAAGTCTGTCCTGTAGGCATATTGCTTTGGTAGAGATTTTTTTACTTCTCACAAGTGATACTATCACTGTATTTTCAGAAACTTAGAACCTCATTCAGGTGCTGCAGCCATTCTGGTAGCCTTATTAACACACACACAGAAATGAGATTGAAGTTTGAGTTGATTAGAGAAAGATTTTCTTTTATTTAAACCCAAATTTTTAAATTTGCTAGTAGTGGCATGTTTTTCTTTCTTCTGCTTTGGATTACTTATTCCTGAGATTTTGTGACACACAATGCCTTCTCCAAATACTTTGGGATAACAAAGTATAGACACAGAACATCTGATAACTCTGCATCTGAATTTTACTTTCACTAACAAGAGATTAGTGCTGGAATAATCTGTAATCCCATTGTAATGTGACTGAAAGCTGTTTAGTTTGGCTAGTTCAAGGGTTTATAGTCCCCATGTAACCACAAACCTGGCTTCCCAGCCTGCTTCTATTACAATTTTTTCCCTAGCTGAGGCTCAGCTTTATTTACCCTCTGCTCCTACTTCTTGACAACACACAATGGTTGTATTTCAGGGCAGAGTAGTAAGATCCTATTACACATAACATTTCCTGAAAAGCTGTTAGTCCTTTCTGCCCTCAAGTCCTAGTCATTCTCCCTTGCCCTGACTCCCTTCCATCTAACTGGCTTTGTAAAGTCTATGAGTGATAAACTGAAATATCAGTGCCCCAGCAAGAGTACTCTAGCTTGTTTTCACTCTACAAGAATTCACTATTGTCTTGTGAGTTTTGCAAGCGTCACCAAAATAAATGTGAAATTAAGTAAAAATAAAAGAAGGCTGGAAGAATATTTGTGTTTATTCTCAAAAAAAGTATGGTTTTAAGCTGAAATAACTAGCAACATCAGGTATAATCCAGCTAAATAAAATACTACTTGAATAATAACTGCAGTGGAAACTAGTACCCAGTATCATGCCAGGTGGTAGCTACTCAGTCAGTTTACTGTTTCAATGGTGTACTTCATGTAAAATGAGAAATTTTGTGTCTGTCATGGCCAGGGGAGCACC